CCCACAGTGGGAGGGGACCTGAGGGGTTGCCTGAAGTTTTTGTCTGAGGCTATAGGAAACTTAATTTAGTTGAAACAAATACAGGGCTGACTTGGGACTACTGCAGAGGAAGATTCATTGACTGTGGTTATAACAAAGGTCTGGTCAGATGCATTTCTGCCAGAGCTAATAAAAGGCTCGTGGCAAATGTTATTTAGGACTCCCCAAGACCTTGAGTCAGAGGAGGGGACACTTGAATGGGGTTGGACTGGTGCCTTCCCCAGGTTGGATAGATTAATTTTTGACAGAAAGTGAGACATTCCCTGGCCAGCTAGCATGATCTTGTTGATCCTGTTGGAGTCTGGCCAAAATGTATCACATATCAATACACTGGAACATGACTCCTTTTCAGGGGCACTCTGGTCAGCTGTTTCTGTTTAACATGGTCTTTTGCTGACCCTGTAACTTTACAGATAATACCAGCACCTTCAGCCCTCGGGCAGCATGTTTGGTATGCACTCTCAACCCACAGTATGGAGAAGAACTGACCCAACCTTCTGTGTCTCCCAGTGGCTTTCTTCTTGGTTTAGTTCTGGGGGCTTATAATGGCAACAGCTGTTATTAATTTTTGGTCTTGTCATTGTTATAGGTATAATTGCCTGTTGTTTGTATTGTTGTTCTGGCTTTTGCTTACAAGTAGAAAACAAATTGATGCAATGTGTCAGTCACCCACACCAAAGAAATGACTGCAGCACCCCTCCCCTCTAGAGGCTCAGGTACCCTCATGGAGGAAGTAGGTATGTGAGGTTGTCCCTAGTATAAGAATGTTTCTGCTTTTAGACCAGGGAATCGTAATGTTATCATACAAATTATAGGCTATGACACATACAGCATTCTTGTCTGTTCTGGGGGGATTGCCTAGGTTTTGCACGTTTTCCCTATGGTATATAAGTCCTGGGTCTGGGGAGTAACAGTGTGGATATCTACTGTGCTTCTGTCTGTAAGTTCCCGCAATAAATCACCCAAAACTGACAAACTGAATTTGCCTGCTGCCTTCTTTGGTTTCTCAGCTTCTTTGGCATTTGGGGGTCACTTTGTATATATGGCCCCTCATGAAACCATGTTGATTTCTGCATTTTCCTTAGAGCAGAATGAGTGGAAGATCGTCACTGTTTTATCTTGTAAGAAGTCTTCATATACTTAGAGCATATGGGTTGGTTACTTCTTTGCGGATTCTGACAGATAAACTAAGTCAACACTGGCTGTTAGTAGGTCCTGCTATGTTGATTTTATGACTTCCAAAGTGTAATTCTGGGACTATCTTTTTGTTTCAGTAGCCTGAATAAAATATAATAATTGCTGTTCGTCCTGTGTGAACATCTTATATAAGTAAATGTTCTCTGGTAGTTTGTCTTTGATGCAGAATGATGAGAGTAGCCCATCATCTGTCAGCTCACAGCCAATATTGAAAAGTATGAATGAAACATTGAATGTTGGTGCTTCCTGAACCATTCTCTCACCCTGTTTGTCTCTGACAATTGTATAATACTATTCTCCTTACTGTTTTCCATCCTATAAATATGTATTCAATCAGATATCATGTTTTTAGTATTGCTGAATTTATCAATATATTATGTTTTCAAACTTAAAGAGACTCTGATTGTGTCTTCATGACTAAGTGCAGGAAGGAGAAGTAAATTTCATTTCTGTAACTAAAATGTAGAAAAAAACTTTCTGGTACTGTGTTTCTACAAGGAACCTTGTACATAGGACTCAGAACTTGGGCAGATGTTAAGGATCCTGTGTTTTCACCCACTTAAAAAAGTTGGCAGTCTGTGGAAATCATTTTACATATATTTAGGCTCAGTTATAAGGAATTATCTTTTTTAAGCATTCTAATAACAATCTAATAATTCTAAAAATCTAGATATATTTTGTTACTGAGAACAAAATACACATTTTTTAAAAATTTGGACTTACATTATTTATTTTTTTAATTTTATTTTAAAGATGTGGTCTACAATTCAAGATTATGTATACAGTTGGTCATTGTACAAGTAAAGTTTAGCCCCACTTTGCCTGGTTTGAGATCAGGTATCCGTATACCCTTATTAATGTTATGTGCTTCCCCTCTGTCCCTGGCCAATCCTTTTCTTTCAACTTTATTTCAACAGGATATTTTATAAACATGTATTTGTATGATGTTTCACAATTAAAATTTTTAGGTGAAATTGGAAAATAAGCCTGTGTTACTGTGTGTAGGAAAAAAAATTTGCTTCTGTGTACTTTTTTAAAAAAAGTATATTCAAAGCATTAAATAGGTAAACAGTTTCTGAACTAACAGTTTTACCTAAAATGAATGCATGAACTAGGAATTTTCAGTTAAAATGATTTTTTTTTTACATCCTTAGGAGACCTCTGTAAATATTAGATTCTTGCTAGGAAGTGAAAAGTAACTGTTAAATGGAAATTGTTGGCCTTTACAAAATAATTGAAAAATAGTTGGCTTGGTCCCATTTGCTAATAACTCTTTTGAGTAAGTATAATGTGCCCAAGCCAAACCAATTCTTCTAAACTAATACTAGACTACTTGAAGCCGTTATATCACAGTGGGCATTCCTTTTACTCACAGGTTGGTTTCAGCAGCTGGCCTAGAAGAGATTAAGACTCTGTTACATCAGGGGGACAAAGGTTCTAGCTCTGTCATCTACTCTTATTTTTCTAGTAGTATCTAAATGGGGACGTTTCCTCTTAAGCAGTATTACTAGTTTCTTTGAAATGCTGGTGTTCATGGCAGTAGAGTCAAAACATCCTTCAAGGAATGTCAACTGGGCCATGGGTGCGTGGGTGCTTTGTATGTTTGGGGGTCAAGTTGTTATCACCCCTATTCCCGTAGGCTGCCCTCACTTGGACTAGGTGTTGCAGGGAAGCGACCAGTGTGGCACTTGCCCAGGAAGACCACACAGCACTGGGGCTGTGCACACAGTTTGAGTCTGTAGGGCAGGCAGGAGGGTGGTCCTGCTTCTGCCATTACCCTGCCACTTATCTGGGCCTCAGTTTAGTTATCCATAAAACGCAGGCAGTAATTTCTGTCTTCAAGGGTTGTGATTAAATGAGCAGGTATATGGTGAATTGCTTGGCAAAATGGCTCACACTAAGAATAGCAGTCTCTTGATTTTTAAGATCTGTGGTCTTTTCTACCTTCCCGTCCTCCTTGTCCATGGCAGTTAGCATCTCAGTATTTGGGTAGCACCCCCTGGAATGTCCACAGGCCTGCCCCCTCCTCCTATCTTTTCTGTCACCAGCCTTTCTTTTGGTTCATGAATATGAACAGCTGCAGAAGGCTACCTAGCATCACCAGGAAGATTGACAATCCTACCACATGAGGAAATAATGCAGAATGAGTGATAATTGGGGCAACAACTAGTAAAGTCTTAGAGAAGAGTGCTTTATGTTCCTCAATATTTACATCATTAAGCAAGAAAGTGTGTTAATCTGCACTTGGCAGTTAATATGGTATATTGCAGGATAGGTGAGTTAAGAGCCACAGACTAGCTTTTTGGTTTTTGAAAGAGCTGTTAACAGCAAGAATTGTATGGCCAGGAATCTATATGATACAGGTATGTGCATTTGTCTGACCAAGCATAAAGGAATTTTTGCCTCCATTGACCTAGATCACTGGATTATGAGCCCATCAAGTTCCTTCCCAATCACAAACATCACTCATGACACACACCCCTACAGGTAGCAGAACAAGTAACAGCTAACATCCACAGGGCACGTACTGGGTGATTTAACCTTATCAGTCCATGCATATGTTATCTATCCCACACCGTGATGTAACTGAAGAGTGCTTTTGAGGACCTGTTCCACTAAAGCAAAATAACAATAAAGATGTCACACAAATGGATAGAAATTATATTGTGATCTTTTGTTTTTGTTTTTCTTATAAAATGTTTAGACTTGCTTGTGCCTCTGCTTTAAACAATAGAATCTGGGCCTCTGCTGCAAGTTGTGTTAGTTTCCCTTTCCTTAAGGGAGAAAGAAAAGATTAAGAGTCTCTGCTCACAGAAATATACAGAGAGTGCCAAAAAATGCATACACATTTTAAGAAAGGAAAACCTGTATTAAAATTGTAATACCCAATATATACTGATAACAAAAGATGACTACAAGTCACAGTTAACTTCTGCAGTTGCCAAAGATGCTCAAAGTGGTTACCGTGAGCATCCAGACACTTCTGATTATGTGAACCAAAAGTATACATTTTTTTGGTCCGTCTCCCCGCCCCCCCTCCCCCCCCCAGTATGAGGCTGCTCAGGAGCAGTCTAAGCTGGCATTTTCTCCAGCCTGCACTCTTGCTTTCTCCCTCCTTCCAGGAACAATGACAATACTTAATTTTAGTATGGACTTTTATACAGTGACACCCCAAAATTAAATGCTTGAGGAAAGAATCCTGTCCTTGTACATACATAGAAGTGCAATAAGAAACCTGTGTCGCCTTCCTCTGAAGGACAAGCTTATGACTGAATAGAGAATGGCACTGATCGAGTTGTGTTTTGTTTTTTGTCTCCTGTGGTACAAGAAATAATGTAATTTTATGTATACTTCTCCAGAATTGAAGTAGATTCATAGCACACCAGAACTATTTAGACTTACTGAGTTTTATGTATCACATTTGCTACGTTGATGCCAATTGGAAATTGTGAATTTCTGAAGTTAGTCCAAGAGACTTGAATGTTCTTACCAACCAGACAGTATTTGTAGACTACAACTTTTTCCCCTTCTTCTGCTCCATCGTCCATGTAAATGATTCACTGAACTGTGTGCAAGGGACATTACCTTCAAGTACTTGATTTTGAACCAGAAGGACCCATGGTATTACAGGAAATTCAGTTGAAACGTTCCATAGAGAAACCAAAACTCTTTTAAGGAAGCATGGCAATAACCCTGGGATTGATAATGCTATAACTTCTCATATAGCTGTTTGATTTACTCCTATATATTGATTTTTATTTCAGATTCAACCCTATGAAAAGATAAAGGCCAGGGGGCTGCCTGATAATATATCTTCTGTGTTGAACAAGTTAGTGGTGGTGAAACTCAATGGTGGTTTGGGAACCAGTATGGGCTGCAAAGGCCCTAAAAGTCTGATTGGTGTGAGGAATGAGAATACCTTTTTGGATCTGACTGTTCAGCAAATTGAAGTGAGTAACATTTAGCCTTTCTCCAGAGATACTAAAATAGTTTTTAGGTTATCATAAATGTTGTATTATAAAATGTAGCAGATACGAATTTGAGCTAATCAAAGAGCTTGCTATCTTTAGTCTCTTTATTAGTGCTTTAAAAAAAGGTTCAGCGTTCCTTAGGGCGATGTAAAAGCTTTTGATCTTAAATGGCATTTGTGGTGGCTGAAATCTCTGGAACTGGTCAGACACTCCTTTGATCTCCCCACCCTTCCACCCCTTTTCTAGTGGCAACCTTCATCGAGGCTGGGATGATCTGGCTTTATTAACCCCCTCTTGGGAAGGTGGGGAGAATGTCACGTATTGGGTTGGATGCCATGGATGCTAAGAACTGTTTTTGACTTCTCTCTTAAGAGACCAAGTCATTAATCATAGACTATAAGCTCTTTCAGGGGCAGTGACCCTATCTTTTTCACCTTTTTATCCCTATTGTCTATTATAGTGCTGGCAACTATAATCATAATACCAGCAGTAGCTATGGCTAACATTTATCTAGCACTTATGGCTCCAAGTGTTATTTTAACCTCTTTACATTAATTGACTCATTTGTTCCTCTTAACAACTCTGTAAGGTAAGTACTGCTATCATCCTTATTTTACAGATGAGGAAGCTAAGGCATGTAGAGGTTGAGTTACTTGCCCAAGGTTCCCTAGCTTAGTTAGGAAGTACAGAATCACCATTTGAACATAGGGCAATCTGACTTCTAAGGCCTAGTTTCCTTCCCATTCTGTGCTGCCTCTTTGTTCCTCTGAAAGATTGAAAAGATTTCACTTGTGGTGTGATTCAGAATTCTTGACCATTAATCCTGAGAATGGGGAGTCATGTCTTTGAAACATTTCTGCTTTCATCCTTACAGAGCTCTGAACATAAGAGTAAATGCTTAATCAGCACTTGCCCAGGAAAGCCACACAGCACTGGGGCTGTGCACACAGCTTGAATCTGTGGGGCAGGCAGGGGGGTGGTCTTGCTTCTGCCATTACCCTGTCACTTATCTGGGCCTCAGTTTAGTTATCCATAAAATGCAGGCAGTAGTTTCTGTCTTCAAGAGTTGTGTTTAAATGAGCAGGTATGTGGTGAATTGCTAGCAACATGTCTGGCTCACACTAAGCATTTATGTCAAATCTACACATTTAGCCATATATATAGATGATGTCATAGACATTTTGTCATTAACTGTTAAGAATTAACTTTACATTTGTAAGCAAAAGAAAAGTAAGTCTGGGTAATCCGAATGTTATCTTCCTCCCTAGCATTTGAATAAAACCTACAATACAGATGTTCCTCTTGTTTTAATGAACTCTTTTAACACGGATGAAGATACCAAAAAAATACTACAGAAGTACAATCATTGTCGTGTGAAAATCTACACTTTTAATCAAAGCAGGTACAAGGAATAAAAATTTACTCTGGGTGTGTTACTCCTGGGAAAGGACTTGTCTTGTTTATAACAGAGGAGTCTCAAGATATTCATGTGTCAAGGATTAATGTTTGCAAGTGTTTGATGTCTTTAGAAGCTGAACATTTGGTAATAGATATGTGATTATTATAATCACTCTTTGGTTCTGTAACTTCCAATGTTTAGAAGGCAATCAGCTTGTGATTCTGTTCCATGTCTAGAATATTTGAGGATAGCTTAGGTCTTTGCATTCTGAGGGAATATTTGGTTTCCAAGTGGGTCTGTGAAAATCTTTCTATATCCTGCCATATTGATAACCTTCTTTTATATGGGAAGGAATTTCTTCAACATCCTGAATAGGCTTGGGGATAATTTAATAAATTCTAGAGAAAAAATCTTCTACTTTGGAGAAGGCAGAGTGAGGAAAAAGGAATTCAGATGATGAACTTTGAATGAAGTCCAGGCAACTGGGGAAATAAGGCTTTTAAGAAGGGACATCAGTCTACATGAACTTCTACAGAAGGCACATTTCTAAAATTTTACCATTTGCTTGGTTATATTTGTAAATTTGTTTTCCCATGGTTCCTTTCTTACATCACAGAAGCTTTGCCTCCATTTTCTGGTTTGACTTCATCCTATTGCAGTTCTAGTTCTGGTTTTTTTCTCCCATAGCCAGCCTTATCTGTATTCTCACTAGTGGTGGGAAGAAGACATCCTGGAATGCTAACCTGCTGCTGACTTTCTAGGAAAGAAAGAGAACTACCCCAAATATATCTGTTTGTAAAAATGGGCAGCTTTTCTCAGATTGGTTTTCAGGGAAAAGAACAATCCCACAACCAAATAAATTTTAGAATTTACACAGATAATGTGATATTTTCTTAAATTCACCTATAATTACTTACTAATGATAGACTCTGAAAGAAGTGAGATTTTATTTATCTTTAATGCCTTATTTTCCTTGAAGGTCTGGAATGCTCTACAGAGTCAATATTGAAAAAGAACTTTTTTTTTTTTTTAAGGTACCCGAGGATTAATAAAGAATCTTTACTTCCTATAGCAAAGGATGTATCTTACTCAGGGGAAAATACCGAAGCTTGGTACCCTCCAGGTCATGGTGATATCTACGCCAGCTTCTACAACTCTGGTTTGCTTGATACCTTTATAGGAGAAGGCAAAGAGTATATTTTTGTGTCTAACATAGATAATTTGGGTGCCACAGTGGATCTTTATATTCTCAATCATCTAATGAACCCACCTAATGGAAAACGCTGTGAATTTGTCATGGAAGTCACAAATAAAACGCGTGCAGATGTAAAGGTAAATATTGAGAGGAGGCAGTTTGGGGATTCATAATTACACATTTCATAGATTATTTAGTTAAAGCTTCTTTTTAATTTTTTTTTTTTTTGAGTTGGAGTCTCACTCTGTCGCCCAGACTGGAGTGCAATGGCCACTCCCGGCCACTGCAAGGCTCGACCCGCTGGGCTCCGGCGATCTTCCGCCTCAGCCTTCCGAGTAGCCAGAATTACAGGCGCACGCTACCACACCCGGCTGATTTTTTGATTTATTGTAGAGATGAGGTCTCGCTGCCCAGGCAGGTCTCGAACCCGCAGGCTCAGGCAATCCACTCACCTCAGCCTCCCAAAGGCATGGGATTACAGGCTGAGCCACCGAGCCCGGCAAAGCTTCTTTTTTAAAGTTTCCATTTTAAACAACACATTTTTCCATTTGATATCATTGTAAAAAAGATGATATTCGCTGGGCGTGGTGGCTCACACCTATAATCCCAGCACTTTGGGAGGCCGAGGTGAGAGGATTACTGGAGCCCATGGGGTCAAGACCAGCCTGGGCAACTTGGTGAGACCTCATCTCTACAATTAAAAAAAAAAATTAGCCAGGCGTGGTGGTGCATGCCTGTAGTTCCAGCTACTTGGAAGACAGAGGTGGAAGGATTGCCTTAGTCCAGCAGGTCAATGCTGTGGTGGCCATGAGTGTGCCAACAGAGTGAGACTCCAACCAAAAAATAAGTAAATAAAAGGCAAAAATATCAAGAGTGGAGTACCTTCAGTTCTGTTTGACATGATAGTGTGTATCATAAATCCAGAATTAATAGTATTGAAATATTCTTTAATGTTTGGATAATCTATCAGTAATTTTAATTGAAAACAGTTCCGCATATATTTATGAGATAAATCTGAAACACGTGAAACCCTTTCAATAAGTTTATTCAAACCTTTAATTGTCTAGTTTGGCACTTAAGTGTTTCTATTTCATTGTCTCTTTTATGTATTTTTAATGTTATCAACTGTAGTATCTCTGTACTTGAAAAATGCACTTGATTTGGTGCAAGAGACTAATTTATATAAGCTTGTCATGACACTTGGCTTTTGATAAAAGAGCACACAAGCTTTTACAGCTTACCCTCAAGTAAGAAAGTAGACAGTCTGTGAATGGCCAATCCCTGGCCTGGATTCTATGCCTTTTGCATACGTCCTCCTCACAGGAGTGAATGCCCCTCTCTTCCTACATAGCCGTGGACTGGTAGCTGTAAGAACATCTCCAGCCTGAGGCCACTCAGGGGCTATATCTCATCTCCTTGTGCGTCTGTCTCCCCTTTCTTCCCCTGTTCTAGAACCTGTCAGAAGAGGGCCTGAGGTGGTAGGACTGTTTAGTGACAGTGGTTTGGGAAAAGGAATGGCTGTTACTGTTAGCACACCTTAGAAAAGTGAGGAAGACCCTCATGTCCTCCCAGGGCTTTTATTATGGACAAGATGGTGAATATATGGACATGTATACAGACAACCTGAATTATATTCTTTGGTTCTACCTTCAAAAATGTTGCTTTGTGTTCTGGAAGAGTATATCATCAGTGTATTTTCTATGAAATTCATAGGCCATAAACAATATAGGATGTTATGATGGGGAAAGACATGGAGGCACTCACTATTTTCTGCCTTTCTAGGGTGGGACACTCACTCAATATGAAGGCAAACTGAGACTGGTGGAAATCGCACAAGTGCCAAAAGCACATGTTGATGAATTCAAGTCTGTATCAAAATTCAAAATATTTAACACAAACAACCTATGGGTTTCTCTTGCAGCAGTTAAAAGGCTGCAAGAGCAGAATGCCATTGACATGGAAATCATTGTGAATCCAAAGGTAAGCCAAGGTAGTGGCCCACTGGGCCTGCTGGTTCCTAAGGTCATAGTAGGCCCCACAGACCTTACTACCTGCTCCCTCTGCCCCATCTATCCCATTGGTTATTCCTTTTTGCCTTCTTAGACTCTCCAGCTGCTAGCCCTGTCTTCTAGAGTTTGCCCTCTATTAGAGGCACACCCCTATAGTGTGCCAAGTTGTGGTGCCCATTATTTGACCCTGGGCTTTGGTAATGGGAAAAGCACGAGGCTCCGACGTGAAGGCCGTACTTCAGTCTTAGCTGTTGCTTTGACACTCATAGGTCATTTGGCCGTGGGTAGTTTGCATGAGTGTTCTGAATCTCTGGTTCTGTATTATACGATGGAAATAATAAGAGTTGTGAGACTGAAAAAAGATCATGTATGTAAAAGTTTGGCATATGGCAGGTTCCCGAGAAATGCCAGTTCTCGGAATTCTGTTTCCTCATTGTCTCTCTTAAGCCACGTTCCACATATTAGCTGCCCCACACCAAATTGTAGGTGCCTAACACCTCTGCTCTCCACTCTCCCCCTGCCATTTCTTACAGACTTTGGATGGAGGCTTGAATGTCATTCAGTTAGAAACCGCAGTAGGCGCTGCCATTAAAAGCTTTGAGAATTCTCTGGGTATCAATGTTCCGCGGAGCCGGTTTCTGCCGGTCAAGACCACCTCAGACCTCTTGCTCGTGATGTCGAACCTCTACAGCCTTGAGGCGGGCTCTCTGACGATGAGCGAAAAGCGGGAGTTTCCTACAGTGCCCTTGGTCAAGCTAGGCAGCTCTTTTACAAAGGTATGTGGCTCGAACCATGGGGACCCTCAGTTCTCAGAGGCCTCACTAGAGATGCCGACACACACGGGAATCGCAGACGGCTTAGTCTCTGCTGCTGGTGTCTTTTCGTGAGAATCGACCGCAGGAGACAGGTGTACTTTGTGTTCGAAGTGTGATGACTACAGAGAATAGAAAATAATTTTTACATTCTGGCACTTCTCGCCTTATGTCTTTTCCAAGACCAGTTCCGCTTTCATCAGTCGGAGAATGGTCTAACAAACAGTTATTGAGTTCCGGCTGTGTGCCAGACAGTGTTCTAGGTGCTAGGAATTTAGCAGTAAATAAAACAGACTCAATCCTTGTCTTCATGGACCTCGCATTCTAGCGAGTAAAGGATGACCATAAGCAAATAAGTCAAATGCATAGTATGCCAAGTGATGGGAAATGCTACGGAGAAACATAAAGCGGGAATAGAGAATAGAGAATATGTGGGTGGGCTGGTGTTCATGAAATTTTCCATTGGGTGGCTACAGATGGCCTCACTGAGAAGTTGAGTGTGTCTGACACGTGGGTATTTGGGCGAGAAGTATTCCAAGCAGCAGGGACAGTAAGTACAGTAAGTCCTCAGGATCATCAATAGGTTCTGGGAAACTGTCACCTTAAACAAAACAACATATAACAAAACTAATTTTACAATAGGCTCATTTATGTAAACAAGAGTTAAGTTCCTACGGCTTATTTCTGGTCACAAAAACATCACAAAGCAACATAACCAAAAACATCTAAATAAAGACCAAAACACCTCTATATTAAACTTGAAATAAACATGAGTTATGCACATATTTAAGAAAAATTAATAAAAAGGTAATGACTTACTTATTCCAGTTCAGTGTCTTTGGTGGCAGCTCAGGCCACGAAGTGGAACCAACCCTGGACAGGACCCATCCCATCCCATCCCACTGTAGGACACACACTCACACACACACACTCAGTCACTCAGACTGGGACCATTTTAGATGAACCAGTTAACCTAGCCATGTACATCATTGAGATGTGGGAAGAAACCAGAATAACTGGAGAAAACTCAGATAGTGGCCCTGGCCTGGAATTCATTTTTTTCCCCCTCATCAACATTATAATGGAAAAACATTGCATGAAACGTCATTTGAGGACCTGTGTAAAACAAATCCTCACCCTAGCATGATAAGTGAAATTCAAAAAATTCAGTCATGTTATAAAGGCTAATGAAATGTGGCAGAGTAAGCCTTTGTGGTTGGTCTATGGGATCGTGTTAGGCCATCCAAGTCTATTTCAGCCCTGGGCATGGTTTACTGCCACCTAGTGTGGATGTGTGGACTACAGATGAGGAATTAAAAACTATGAATGCATGTGTCCTGAATGTCAAATGAAGAAAACATTTCAAGGAAGAGGGTAAGGTCATGTGTCAAATGCTGCTGCTTGATTCAAGTAAGATAAATGAGAATTCACCATTAGATTTATTAATATGGAGGTTTTGAAGTCTGAGAGGCATAGATTTAAGAGAATGGGAGAAGATGAACTGGAGATAGGAACTAGGAGACTCACTCAAGGGCTTTGCCTTAAGCCTGTAATCCTGGCACTCTGGGAGGTGGAGGCGAGTGGATTGCCTGAGCCCATGAGTTTGAGACCAGCCCGGGCAGCTTGGCGAGACCTCATCTCTACAATAAAAAGTTAGCTGGGGTGGTAGTGCGCAACTGTAGTTCCAGCTACTTGGAAGGCTGAGGCGGAAGGATCACCGTAGCCCAGCAGGTCGAGGCTGCAGTGGCCGGGAGTGTGCCACTGCCCCCCAGCCTGGGCGATGGAGCAGGACTTCGACTCAAGAAAAAAAAAAGAAACAGAGAAATGGGCCCTCGGTAGGAAGGAATATAAGATTTGAGAGTTACTTTTAATATGGGAGAATTTACAGCATATTTATACATTGGGAATTGATGCAGTTAAGGGGGGGGATGGAAGACAGAGAATTGCTGGAACAATTTCCTTACACAGGTCATAAGAAGGGATCTAATGCACAAATGAAGAGGTTGCCTTTAAGTAGAAATAGAAGTCCAATTCCAGTGGCCTTAGGGGACATGATGGGGTGGTGGATGGAAGCCAGTGGAAGTTTTCTGATTGCTTCTATTTGCTTAGTAAAACAGGAAAAAGATCATAAAGACAATCTCTAGTACTTGTAAATCTGTAAGGAAATAAGAGGCAAAGATAGTTGTGCCACTGCCCTTCCTAAAACATGCTCCTCCTCTTTCTGAATTTACCATCCCCTAAGCCCAGCTCCAGTATAGCCTGCTTCAAACCATGATGAACTCTCCCTCTTTTTCCACCTAAATCCAGATTATGTGAACTATTCATCTGGCTCTTAGTATGTTGGTTGGTTATCTTTTTTTTAATTTCTGATCTGTTCAACTATATTCTAAATTGTTTACTTGTAGGGACAGTGTTTCTGTCTCCCAATCTTTCCTACATAGGATCTAGCAGCATGTAGTGAGTGATTAAGTAGGTGCTTCTCATAGAAGACCTGAGCTTGGCCATAAAATGTTTTATAGTTTAAACTTTCTTTTGTTAATATAATTCCTATTGTCTGTGAACACACTTTGGAAACAGTTTTTGTTTCTACTTTTCTCTAAAGGTTCAAGATTATCTAAGAAGATTTGAAAGTATACCAGATATGCTTGAATTGGATCACCTCACAGTCTCAGGAGATGTGACATTTGGCAAGAATGTTTCATTAAAGGTATATTGTTATAAAGAAAATTATACTTCCTTTTTTTTTTTTTAAAAGGCAGGGTCTTGCACTGTTGCCCAGGCTGGAGTACAGTGGTATGATTACAGCTCACCACAACCTCAACCTCCTGGGCGCAAGTGATCCTCTTGCCTCAGTCTCACAAGCAGTTAGGACTTCAGGCATGTGACACCATGCCTGGCCATTTTTTTTGTAGAGGTGAGAGTCTTGCTATGTTGTGTAGGCCGGTCTGGAACTCGTGGTCTTGGCCTCCCAAAGTGCTGGGATTACTTTGTGTGAGACACTATGCCTGCCTGAAATTGCATTCTTATAGCTTTATGAAACAGGTCTCATTTTCTGGTCTAGTCTAGAAGTTGATGAGATAAATACATTTTTTAAATGAGTGGATACAGACATCAAATAGGTTGCAACAGTGTTTAGTATTGTCTTCCACTGATATACAACCTAGTTAACACATAAGCATAATTGCATATAGGAATTTCATGTAAATAGCATTCAAATGAAAGCAAACACTGATTAGTAATTGAACTGGTACTATTTTATTGAAATGAGACAATCTTTAAAATAGGATCACTCTTAGCACTAGCTCACTAAATATGACTATTTGAATGAAAGTGGAAAAAATGACAACTTCATTTATACTGAATATGTAATCTATTCCTGTTAAAGAACTCTGTTGTCATCAGTATAAAGATGTTCGTTTATATTATTGTAGTACTTGGGTGCTTTGATGAGTATTATTCCAGCCTCGCCTAAGGAATAGGAGTGAAATAGGGGTATAAGTATTAAAGCTCACAACTAAAGATACGACAGCTTTTTCCTAATGAAGTAACTTTTTAAAAACTCCATAAATCAGATTTCATGAATTCTTCCCATTAAAGCTACTTAAAGAACTTGCTAAAACAAAAAATACATATATTGAACTTTATTGCTGATACTGCCTAAAGACTCACTTTAAGATATGAAAAGTCAGTAAAACTTGAAAAAAAAAACAAAAAACAACAACAACTACATGTAACTATAAACCAAGCACCTTTTAATTTCTTTCTGAAGTTTGGATAATGTTGGTGGCCCTGCAAGTAGGCCTTTAAACGCACTAGTTATGCCGTGGCACTGGGTCCACTTCCCCATCTTGGCACCCTAGAACTACTGCCAGGATGGTTACAGAAGGACACATTACAATTTTCCTTAACATGTTTTTTTGTTTTTCATGTTTAATATTGTTTATAAATACAATTACTCCACTATAAAAAGAGTTGTACATAAACTTGGTAATTGTAAGATAAACAAATTGCATTTCAGTTGTAGTTGCAAATACACTTTTGCATTTTGTTTTCCCTGTCACTTAGGGAACGGTTATCATCATTGCAAACCATGGTGATAGAATTGACATCCCACCTGGAGCAGTATTAGAGAACAAGATTGTATCTGGAAACCTTCGCATCTTGGACCACTGAAATGAAAAGTATTGTGGACACTTTATGCTAGTTATGGGCTAAATCATTTCCTACAATGAAATGTTCTCTAGGATTCTAAAATAGGCAGGTACTTTACTATGTTACTGTACCCTGCAGGGCTGAGTTTTAAAGTAGGCTTTTCCACAGATGCTTTTAGTCTAAGAAAAGCACAGGTGGAGCAATACTTTCCTTCTTTGAAGAGAATCCTGAAAGTTAGTTCATCTTAAAGTGCAATATTGTTTAATGTTAAAACTAGGGCAGCTTTGCTGGAAGAACTTTAAACAGAAGCCTCTCAATGTTGGTCACTTTGAATTGCTTGTGATTTCAAAAATAAAGCGGTGAAGCAATACTTGTGTATGCTTGTGCTTTATAATGCTAACTATGAAATGGTGAAATAAAGTGATTTTACTCTTGCTGAACAGTGACTATATAAGTTAGACAATTTGCTTTCTGAATATTTAGGTACTCTCTAGCTAGTTACCTAGCAAGTCAATTTTTGGGCATTTCTTAACCACATCATTATTTCCATAGGAATTAAACGTGAAGATATTAAGTACCTTTCATCTAGTTCTAAAACTGGGATGCCTGCCACGCTTTCTACAGACTCTCCATTTACTGAAACAAAGTGGCATTTCTTTTCCCAGCTAAAGGGGATAGTAGGCAGAAGGAGGACATTTCTTTCACATCCTTGTACTTTTGTATAGTAGGTTAGGGGTATAACGTCATAAAAAGTTCCTTTTCCCTAAAGCTTCACTTCCTGTACCTTGTTTATCTTTGAAAAATGTTCACTAATAACCTTTCTAGTCAATTCTGGTAGTTTAATTTATGCCTTTTTCTCTAAGAATCAATTGCATTTTCTAATTCGTCCATACTTGTTTGAGTAGGCTGTTTAAGTTCACAGTATACTATTAAAAAAAAGTTGCCTTTTAAAGTCTGGTTATTTTTTATAGCTTTATTTTAGACAGTTTAAGAACCAACGACATACCTCTGTAATGAAAAAGGAAAGAAAACAAGCTTTCCTTTAAGAAAACCCAAAGAGCACAAAATAAGACTATTTCACTGTACATAATCACCACAAGATTAGGCACTCTGACAGGGTTAGGCAAGATTCTTGGTGTGAGGTGAGTCACAGGCACTTTCATTTTAGAGTGCTCCTGATTCTAATTTTGAAGGGAGGGTTTTATAAAAATCTTTAACTTGTCACCTGTGGCCCCAACACAGCAGCCTATGTTTTCAAAGTTCTGTTTCTCCCTGGTCTGGCGAACAACCCTTATGCACATCAAAAGCAACTTAAAAATAAGAATCCAAGGGGGCCATACTCCATGTGATCTAAATGTTAAAATGAAAACTCAAAAGTAGGCAGATTATATGAATGCGTAGTCTCACCTCTGCTAGAAATAAAAAGGGGGAAAATGCCACCCCAAACCCTTCGTAGGTAGTTTTATAAAAATGCAGATATTAAACTGTAGCCTTTTGTATACCACTTCTTAAATGTATTTAAATTAGTTGCATAAATAAATGCCAGTATCTTATTCTTTAATTATTACTTGTAATCAGCCTTTCAAGTATTTATATAGACAGCCCTGGAAGGCTTTACCCAGTCGACATATGGTGGTAGTAGAAATATTAAATACACAATACACAAAACCTAAACTTGACATTGGTCACTAAACAAAAATTGAATTCCTAAATCCAAGCAATCAAAAGATGTTTATTTTTTTATAGAAAGATCTGTAAAAAAATAATTTTTCCAACGCTTTACTTTCATAGAGAAAACTTCCTACAGAGGTTGACTTAAGATTTCAATATTTTAAATTGTACCATCATTAAATAAGGTGGGACACCATATGAATTTCATTGCACTGAAGAAATGCAAAGCATTTTTTAATATAAAGTATACAGAGCATTCTAGTCAGCTACAGCTGTGTTACAGCTATGTGTTCTTTTGGATTTGGTCCAAAGAAACCTGAGTCTGTTTCCAGAGAGAATGAAAAATGTTATAGACACCTGATCAGTTACTCCTCACTGAAGGATGCACAAAAATGGCATTCCTCATAGATCCCACTGAATCCAGTTTCCCAACACTGATACATTACTGTTCCCCTTCCCCCACCCCAGTTCACTTTGGGTTCCAGGTTCAGTTCTCAAATCATAGGCATCCAAAATTTCTTCATAAACACACATCCCGTGGTCAGATGAGCTCCCCAGTTTTCCAGTATGATATCACCTCTTCTGTTCCCAGATCTCGGCCATATTTAGGTCCAAATCTTTAAGGCCCTTTAAGGCTTGAAGATTTCCAGTGTAAAAAGCTACATCTGCTGTGACCAACCTAAACATTGAAGAGAAAATTATTTTTAAATATCAAACTTTTTATTCAGATATTTAAAGTGGCAATGATCACAGAGTCAAAGTCCTATTCTAAAGTCTATTTAAGTATTACTGAAAACTCATATTTCCTAGGGACCAAATGGCAACACGGTTCTCTTAAGATTCCTGCTATCATATTGGTAGGCTATCTAATGCTTTATTTCAATAATAAATATTTGGAAAAGGAACACAATCAATACATGTTAGAGTCAGTTTCTTAATAAATTTTGTCCAGTAAAACCAGATTAATCTTAAAACAGCATGAATTAAAATGCAGAGAAAATAACGGGTTAAACAAAAGTATTTTTGGTAAGCACTAAAGTATACATAGAATAGAAAAGTCAAGGAAAAGATAGGCCAGGTTTCCTAAGTACCACCTAAGAAGTTAAATGGAGGCTGGTATTCATGTATGTAAATGCTACCGGATATAAAACTTGACACACATAATAACATGATGAAAAAGAAAAGAACTGCACTTTTGAGTACTGAGCTACATATCTGAAAGAACATTTCCTTTAGACACTGAACTATTTAAGAATAAATAGGAATTATTTACCCTGGATTCATTAAAAAAGATGAAACATGACTTTTAAAAAATGTCATAAAAAGTGCTGATTTGGTTACTAATTTGTTCAACTGGAGTTTCATTTTTTTTAAATGCAGTTATATTCTGAGGTCCAGAAAAAATTTTGAAAGATGAAGAACTGTTAGAGGATTAAAACAATAAGTACATTAGAAGTGTTTAATACATGGACAGCAGATTTGTAACTGCTTGTGAAAGGGAAGACCTAATTTTTAAAATTACTGTCTGCAGGGAAGACAGTAAAATACCCATAAAACACCTCAGAGCAGGACACCAAAGGACCATTATGCACAATTATTTTCCAGTGTGGGAGTTTGGTTCCTGGGTGATTCATTTGAATATATATATGACAATTAAAATGTAATTGTGAAGTAATGAGCTCAAATTTCTTATTAGCTTATCAATATAGTGTGGGACTCTTTATTGTGAAGCTTTCATCTTGGTCTCCATATAACATTAATAGTCACAAGTTGGTTTGGGGTACAGTTACTTAAGGTATCCTTGCCTTATAAATAGCGTACAATAAATGCTGGTAGTAAATGAAGCACCTTCTAATGTTATGTAGAAGCACAGTCTGTACTTGAATGATGTTTCAATCATGAATTAAAATGATAATAACAGTTTTCTAAGGTTGGAAATAAGAAAATGTACACAAAGTGCATGGCCTGCTCCCTGGCACAGAGGCTAAGAAAAAGAGGCTGTTACCCCACCAGTTATCTTGGAGCAACACCTCTACTTACATTTAAGTGGCCCATAAGGAAAGTATCACTTTAGAAATATTGCGTTGGGTACATTTAAAATAAGAAATTTTATCTATTCCAACCTTTCTTAAGCCTGGCCATAATGATTTAACTGAACGAACTGTTAGGAAAACTGTGTGTCTCCCACTCACAATCCAGTTATTTCTGGAAGTAAAAAATCTAAAACTCAAGATTCCAAATCTATGTAAAGCCTACCAGCCAATCCATAGTGGCCTTCACAATTGCAGAAGAAAGCAGGTAAGGAGCAGCATTTAGACAGCACCTCATAGGTTTTAAAGTGCTTTCATTTAACATTTATTCTACAATAACCCTAGAAGATAAATACTATTATTACCCCATTTTACAAATGGAGAAGTTGAGGCTTAGAATGACTGAGACAAAGACGGCTGTTCCTGTAGGGCCTAGAATGGATGTGTGTGCTGACAGGACCCTCATTCTTGATCTTGTCAGTCTTCAGCATTTACACCTTTAGCTGAATGGATAGGTTCAATTAAGGCAAGAAAGAGTAGGAAGCCAAATTGATAGATAGGTTTCAATTGAGGCAAGAAAGAGCAGGAAGCCAAATCTTAATCTTTACAAAGTACCAAAGTGGGCCTTAGTCCGATCTATTTCTCTACTGGTTCAGTACCGAGGAGAAGGGGTAAGTGAATAGGAACCTCTTATTTCTAGCAGAGTAAGAATATATTTCTCCTGCTTTTAATTTAGTTTTTACCAATAGACTACCTGAAATTAAATACTGTATATCATTCCTATGAAGGTGAATGTAATTTTTCTAACGTCTGATCTCAATCTGATTTAAGCTTTATGTATTTTATGCATCTCACAGGTAAATGGAAATGTTAATGCCCCATACATAAAAAATAGGTTCTGGTCCGATTAGATATATTTTGACGGATGTGGCCCATGAAGAAGCAAATAGGAGACTTTGATTTAGTATAATAGTTTGTGAAAGAAGAGGAAATCCAGTTCAGCCTCAATATTTTAATGAACACCTACATTACAGATTGCTGTACTAGGCAAAGGTGGCACGAGCATCCTTAGTATTAGTACTAAAGTCTAATTTGTAAGTACAATTGGACTTATGTACTTAATGTTTCACCTTTTATCACATGACAAAATTTAGTGAGAACCATTTTTTCATTGGAAACTTATCTAATTCAGGGTGTTTCAAAATCTTTCAAAAAGATTTTATAAGTTATGCTTCTTGTGATAATACAGTAAGTCACGGATACTGAAAGCAATGGCTCAAAAAGGAGCAAAACCTTTATAAGGCAAAGTCATCACACTAAAAAACATTAAGTTAACAAAAATCTCCATTTAAAAATATCAATATGTTGAATTAACACTACTATTTACAGTCTATACAGGAAACAGAAAAGTTATGTTTTGCATAAAAGTTGAAAAATTTTGTTTGATATGAGTACATAAAAGAAAAGCAGATATTTGCAACTTATGTAACCAACAATGAATTACTACAAAGGCATATACAAAAGTCCAAAAGACAAAACAAAAAATGAGAAAAATGGGAAAAAACATAAGAAAAAAGTCACATGACAAGATAGTAAACATCAGGGAAATGCAGATCAAAACAAGTTACCATTATTCCCTATCAGACTGGCAACAATTAAGAACTCTAACAGCAAATGCTGGCAAGATGTGGGAAACAAACTCACAAACTACTGGTGGGAGTGTAATCATGTAATCATGTGCTCTGATTCACTAGTAAGAATATACCTTTAAAAAAGTCATACTATTAGACATGTATAAGGACATGTATGGCAAGGTTGTGATGAAAAAAAAGTAATGACTTAGAAATCTACCTGCAGGGGAAATGGGTAATTTCAATTTGGCTGATTCATGTGATGAAACACTATAGACAGCAGTAAAAACTGGACTAATTCCATACATTGACAAATCAGTAACAATGTTGAGTAGAATAAAGGAAGCTGCATATGTACAATATACCATATAAATAAGTTAAATTTGCAAAACAGTGCTATACATTTTTCATATATACAGTGATAATAAATGAGAATGACTCAATACATAGACCAAATTCACTGGAAATGGGGTCTGAAGGTTGGGAGAAAAAGGGATTGGAATTGGAGATGAGGTATCAAGTGTACTTCAGCTTCATGTGAAATGCCATTTTAAAATTATAAGCATTTTTTCAAGTGAAAATGACAAGCGTTAATAATGATCGATTCTGGGTAGCAAGAATACAAATTCTTTACTCTTCATATGCCTCTATTTTTAAAGTATCTTAAAATAGAGGGAAAATCACATTAAAAAGAAAATTTAAAGGAAGGGGAGAGGAACAAATAGGGACCAACTGCCTAATGGGTACAGAATTTTCTTTTGGGGTAGTGAAAATGTTTGGAAGTAGACAGAGGTGGTTGTACAGTATTGTGAATGCACTAAGTGCCACTGTATTGTTCACCTCAAAACAGTTAATTTTATTGAGTGCAGTGGATCATGCCTGTAATCCCAGAACTTTGGGAGACTGAGGAGTTCAACTTGAGGCCAGGAGTTCAACACTAACCTAGGTAACATAGCAAGATCCCATCTCTAAAAAGAAAGAAATTAGCTCGGTATTGTGACACATGCCTGTAATCCCAGCTACTCAGGAGGCTGAGGCAGGATGATTGCTGGAGCCCAGGAGTTCAGGGCTGCAGTGAGTCATGACTGTACCACTGCACTCCAGCCTGGGTGACAGAGGGAGACCCTGTCTTCTAAAAGGTTTTGTATTTAAAAAAAAAAAAAAATATATATATATATATATATATATACACAAACTTTTTAGAAGACAGGGTCTCACTTGGCTTGGTGGCTCAGCCTGTAATCCCGTGCCCTGGGAGGCTGAGGTGAGTGAATTGCCTGAGCCCGCGGGTTCAAGACCCGCCTGGCCAACTTGGCGAGACCTCATCTCTACAATAAATCAAAAAATTAGCTGGGCATGGTAGCGCATGCCTGTAGTTCCGGCTACTTGGAAGGCTGAGGCAGAAGGATCGCCGGAGCCCAGCAGGTTGAGGCTGCGCTGGCCGGGAGCGACCACTGCACTGCAGTCTGGGCGACAGAGTGAGACTCCAACTCAAAAAATAAAATAAAATAAAATAAAAATAAAATAAAACAACGAATTTTAATATTATGTGAATTTCATCTAAAAAATTTGTTTTTAGAGCAATTACAAGAACAAAAATTCCTTTATTCAGGTAGTTTATCTCCTTGGCTAGAGTGTAGAGGTTAATTTTTGGGGAATCACATCTTTCAAGAATCATTCAAAGACATGAACTGACTTTAACAGAATAATATCTGTAAGTCTGTAACAGTGGGAATCCTGGAGGTTGGACTGACTCCAAAATTGCTATGTTAACAAAGAAAACAATGAGCTAAAGAGCTAGCATGGATGGGTGACAAAAGGGAAATATGTGGGGTGGGGGAGAGAGGGAAAAAGTGTGGCAGGAAGAGTGTGGTGAGATTTAATGGTTAGCAAATCTACATGAGACGTATTTGGTGTTCTTGTCCTTTGACTTTTCCATGGCTTTGAAACTTCTGAAAGCAAATAATTATTTAAAAAGAAAGAGAAGAATCAGGAGAATATTGTCTTTTTGAATAAAATTCCTAAATCCAGCCTGGTGACAGATTTAACAGATTGGAGTTTCCAAATAGTTTTTTGCAAAATCAGTTCAGTGTACTTCTTTTTAAATGGTAGGGCCAACTTCTGACCCCAAAATACATTTGAAATTTAAGTCTGGAATTCAAATTCCTTTAACAGGCAATATAATTTTATTCCTAAAAATCTGTGAGACAGCTAACACACTAAGGAAATGATATTAAGCTGTAACTGAATGATTATTGCTTTACATTTTGTAAAATCTCTTCCCCTTATCTTTATCTACATTTATTCTTCCCCAAAATCCTGTAAAGAAATTTGTATCAGTATCCCTATTTTTAAATCTAAAAAATTTAAAGCTCAGAGAAGGTAAGTGATTCGCCCAAAGTTACACAGCTAGTAACTGACAGAACCAGAACTTAACTCAAGTTTTCTGATTTTAAATCTTGTTTTCTCTTTTATGTATTATATTAACAGTAATATATACAGTTTCTTCAATAGCTTACAATAAAATATATGTGCATATACATTTTTAATAACCTGTGAAGGAATTAAGACAGAATTTATCCTTGTCATTATATAAATGAGGCACAGAGGTTGAGTGACTTTTCCATAGTCACACAGCTACTAAGTAGGCTTTTGCATCCTATATGGATAGGGGAAGACTACTGGGTCTCTAAGGAAGTGCTATAGCCCACACAGCCTCAGAGTGGTTATATAAGGTCAGGTAAGTAACTGACCATTTATAAACCACTTCAAGATAGAAAGAGGACAGATAGATAAGATACACAGAGACAGATAGATATCATTCCCACAGGGGAAAGAAAGCAAAAAGTTGCTGATTTTACAATTTTGGTTCCCTGTATGATTATAGCAGAAAAGAATAGCATAAAAAATAAAAACCGATCATTAAAACAAACCGATATGGGAGTATACGGTAAAAATATGCTTAAAAACATACCCATTTTGAGGTCCTCCATCATTTATCACATTTAAGTGAGATAATTGCTTTTTCAAGTGGAGTTTGTAACTTGCATTAATTCTTAAAAATAACATCTGGAAAATAAATGAAACTGTTTCTTAAAGTCCTACTGAAATAAAAGATGTAAGTATCTGAATTATCAATATTATTTGGAGAAAGTATTTTTCAAAAATTTTGCTTTAGCATATACTTTTAAAATGTTCCTCTGAGAGTATTCAATACCTATTTCACTATGATTTTTCTCCTTAGTTGGATAAAAGCTCTTTTTTTCCCCCTTCTTAGCAGTACTTCTTTTAGTAATAAGACTGCCTTTCTGCACCTTGGAAGAATTCCTGTGGGATATGTAAGTGGGAACAACTATGACAGATACAAAGAATAAAAAGTCACGGAGAATTCTGCAATATATTAACTAGGAACTTGATAGGAAAAAAAAGTCACAGTGATAGAGGCAAAGATATCTTCATACCTCTAGTAAAATCACTTAAATAAAATACTTATTTTATTATTCTTGTATGCAGATTTTTAATGCAATGATCCAATATTTCTTTGGGAAATATCTGACCTAAAATTATATAGAGTAAGTCTGTGGAAATGATTTTGTGAAATAACATTTACTATGGGTGGATATATATGTGTGTGTATGTGTGTGTGTACAAACACACACCTATGAAAGTTTTGTGGAATCACACACAATATTCAAGTGGCAATACTGACATAAAACCTCTAATATTTGCCCAGATTTGGCAAGAGTATCCTTGAAATTATAATGCAGATAAAGACAAAGTACCTACACATCCAGGTCCCTGATCTGGCTAAGTCTTGCTCTAGCATTAGAACCTAGATGGCAAATCCAGAAGGTCAGAATGTCAGAGGTGGAGGTTCTTACATGTAGAATGAAGAGGCTGGCTTGGAAAGGAAGAATTTAAAAGGAAAGAGAGACCTTAGTGGGAACTCCATATCTTATGGCTTCCCCTTGGTCTTCAGTGAGCCCCCAGGGAGCTGGATGATATTTAATCATGAGGTTGGAATGACAAATGAAAACCTAGGGAAATATGAAGAAAAACGGTAACAGCTAGCATAGGATGGAAGTGTGAGGTGGTGTAGGAAAGGAGACAGAAGGAACAAGTGTAGGCAAGAGAGACTAGGAAGGCTACCCTCTGCTCTCAAATACTATTTCCATCATTCAGTCAACTAAAAGGCAAATGGAAATAAACTTATCTAAATAGCAAAAATTCCAGTGAAAGTTAAGTTCATTAGTCATACAACTAGGCTTGTATTATAACATTTTATCATTCTACAACTTAGGCTCACCTGGTACAGAGAAAATAAACTAAGGTAGGTGAAGAAGACTGGGGAAAAAGGAAATACCGAAAACTTCAAAGTTCTAGGAAGAGAAACAAGAGGTGTAGGATAAGGGTGTCACTGAAAAATGAAGAGAACTCTGTGATAACACTTTTGTAAGGGAATATAGTAGGAACAGAGGGTGGATATGTGATAATAGCTAAGAGATGCCAAAGACTCCCTCCACCCAGATTTTGTTCTTTTTCCTGATTTGTACTTACTACAGATCACTTAAGCTGATGTAACAAATATTAAAGATAAAGAAGATTGATTTAGTTACGTGTGTTAATCTTATTAACTCCATCACTAATTCTTCTCATATCCAACTTGGATTTCAAGCACAGTAATATATTTTGCTATTCATTACTAAATGCCAACTCTAATTTTCAAACTAATAATGTAATGAATGATGTAAATAGAATCTGGGACCTCTGATAATGAACAAATGGAAAACTCCCATTTTTGAAATGCTTACGATACAGCTCTGGGCTGTCAGAGCAAGGGACACTTTGAAATGATAAATTTTTATCTATGTTCTACTAGTCAATAAAACAACTTAAAATATGATAATCATATTGGAACATGAACTAAACTTAACCATGCCCAATTCTGCATAGATATTATATGTTATGTCTACACAAGTAGTTTTGGAAATTACTACTCACCTGTGTTTGTTCTTCTGGAAGGAGATCAATTATAGCTTCGTGCATTTTTGCCATTTGCTTACAAATATTCCTGAAACAGGCAGAAGGAACGGGAGCTTTCACCTCATACTGGTAGGGGAAAATAATGAGAATTATATTCATGTCCTCTGAATTGCATAATGTCTGTACTGTTCCCTGAGACATATATTTTCTGCCTCTCCACATATCCAACTCTGGTGTAATACTCAAGCTTACACTTCAACTGTGATCTGTGCTACTCATACAAATCTTGAGAACCTTTCATTCAATATCCTAATCTACTTTGAGGGAGCTAAAATAGCTTAGTGGCTAAAAAACACAGACTGCTTCCAATTTAAAACAGACTGCTTGGGTTCAAAGTCTATCTCCTCCTTCTTAGCTATTAGGTGTTGAGTAAGTTTTCTGATTTCTCTATCTCAAAGGGCTGCTGCGAGGACTTAACAAGATATCTCACAAGAACACAACATAGTACTTAAATGTTAGCTACCAATCAGGCTCAATATATAATGATGAATCACTAAAGTAGCCCCTCCAAATTAACAGATTCTTTTTTAAACATGATTTTTAAGAACATAAACATGATCATATCAGAAATCATTAGAAATTTGGAAGAATTAAAATGTTCTTTTTATTTTATATGTGGGTTAATATAGTAAACATATTTTACCCTAACACTAAGGTAATGAAAGAATTTTTCAGCAATGCTTTGTGCTGAAAATTTAGATTTAAGTAAATTCATATTATTCTTACATATGAAACAATATATTGGTATGACTTAAATAATAATCTTTTGGCTTGTATTTTAGAATTCACACAGCTTAAACTACATGCCATTTTATTTATAGGACAAATTTGGGTTAAACACTGTAATTTAAATGTACTAATCTTATACAATTTATTAAAATGTGATAAGTTTCAATATATTGCTGTAGAAGAACCATGCATAAGTCACCATGGGACTGGACTAAGGTAAGCAAAATGGTGACTACCCAAGGATTTGTCTTCAGTCTAGAAATACATCAAACATCTTCTTATCTTTTTTTAAATTAAAAACAGCTTCGAGATATAATTCACATACCATAAAATCCATTCTTTTAAAATATACAATTCATTGGTTTTTAGTAAATTCATAGTTATACAAATACCACCACTAATTTATAAACATATTTATCACCTCAAAAAGAAATCCCAAATCTATTAGTAGTCATCCTGTATTTTTCCCTTTCCAAAGCCCCTGGCAACCACAAATTTACTTTCTGTCTCTATGCATTTGCTTGTTCTGGACATGAAATGCAGCTTTTTGTGACTGACTTCTTTCTCTTAGCATTATGCTTCCAAGGTTTATTCATGTTGTAGCATAAATCAGTATTTCACTTCCTTTTTATGGCCAAATAATATTCATTTGCATTGATACACCACATTTTGCTTATTCATTGATCAACTAATGGATATTTGGGTTGTTTCTACATTTTGGCTATTATGAATACTACTGCTATGAACATTCATGCACAGTTTTTTGTGTGAATAAATGTTTTCAATATTCATGAGTATATACCACTAAATTACTGGGTCATATGTAACTCCATGTTTAACCTTTTGAAAAAATGCCAAACTGTCAACCAAAGTGATTGTACTACTAAGGCTCTACATCCAAGACCTGGATATACAGGCTCTACCTATGATGGAGACCAGGATAAGAACAAAGATTTCCCCTGTCACCCTTAAGAGCCTGGCACTAAGAGCCTGGAGAAAGACCTCTACTCTGTGGTGCCGGTGTGCAGAGGTGACTGAAAGAAGAGGGAAAAACAGCAACAATGAGTAAAATGTTGTAATACCTCAGTCCTACTTTAAACACAAGGTAATAGCAGGCTGTTACAGGAAACTGGAAGCTTATGGTACACTGAGGATAACAATAGCAATAAGAAAATGGAAATCTAGCTTACTTATTGAATAATTTGATTCCTCCCCTAATAATGGCTTGACAGAAGAAAGGCATGTGCATTTCTATGCATAAAGACTATTTATCTGTCTCTACTGTTCTTTTACATACAATGTTTAGCATTTAATAAAAAATTACACACACAAAAAAGCAACATACCACTTTCAAAAAATAAAAAAAAACCAGAATCAGACTCAGACATGACCCAGATATTGAACCATTAGAGGGATATTTAAAACAACTGATTAACATGTTTAAGGATCTAATTAAACAGAAATTTCAGCACAGAAATGGAAACTATAAAAAAAAAAAAATCCACAACAGATCCAAGAAATTCAGAGAAAACCCAAACATGATCAACAACAAACAAAACTTAGACACATCATAGTCAAACTGCTAAAATCAAAAATTTTGAAAGCAATCTGAGGAAAAAAAGGGACATTAAACAGTAATGTCTCAGGAACAAAGAATTACAGCAGACTTCTTGTTGGAAACAATGCAAGCCAGAAGATAATTAAACCAAATTCTAAACTAGCAAAAATATCCTTGAAAAATGAAGAGGAAATACTGAGTTTTTTTAAGCAAAAAAAACCTGATAAAATTCATTGCCTATAGACATATTACAAAGCACATTAAAGGAATGTTCACAGGAAGGAGAAGTATGGATTAGATGGATCTCCAAAAATAATGAATAGCTCCAAATTGGTAAAAATCAGGATAAATATAAAAGGCATTGTTTTCTTCACCCTTAAAACATAACTGACAATCTAAAACAAAAATACTGGCAATATGTTATGTTTTATAACACAAGTAGAAGTAACATGTATGACAATAATGGCATAAATTAGGATAGGGAAGATACAAAGAGGACTAGGAAAAGTATACTCAAGTAGAATTTTGTTATCCACATAGTTCTACATGTGTTACAAATAACTGAATTTACAGTTTAAAAACCTGCCTTCAAAGCAACCACAAAGACTAGTCTTTTACATTACTGGTAAATTCTACCAAACATTTGGGGAAAAAAATAATACCAATTTCCCATAAATTCTTTCAGAAAATAAATAGAAATACTTTCCAACTCATTTTATGAGTCCAGCATTGCTCTGATACTTGCTTCAAACAGGCACTATAAAATAAAATAAGAAAGTCTATGGACCAATCAATATCTTCCAAAATATCCTACAAAAAATTTTAAAAGTAGGTTTACCCACGAATGCAAGGTTGGTTCAACATTTTAAAAATCAAGGCAACTCAGTGATCTATTACAGAAACAAAGAACAGAGTACCATATGTTTTCACTCATAAGTGGAACAACTATTATAATACTATAAGAAAGAGATTGGGGGGAGCTTAAGATGGCAGCCAACAGGTAGGGGTGTAAAATTCTTCATGGAGGCAAGTGACAATAAAGTCTCTCTGTTTGAGTAGGTGGGCACTGGTGGGACAGTGAAAGTCCATCTCAGGAGATACTCAGTTACATGCACCCGAGTTCCCCTCTGAGGGTGATGGCAAGCCCCCAACACTCTGAAATTAGAACACAGCTCCCAAGTTTGCAGCAGAAACATCTGCTGCCTGTGAGAACGTGCCTGAGAAAAGCCTGCAGAATCCAGCTGATTCCCAGCACCTGGCACCTGGCGCACACCATCAACTGGCATACAGAACCACTGAAGCACAGGATTTGATTATTGGAGAGAGAGCACTGGGGGAATCCAGAGAAATACATGCCTGGTGAGGAATCGCCCACCACAGCCATTTTCCAGGCAGAGATTTGCACTGCTCCACCCAGCTCATCCCCCCACCCCCACCCAAGTCTCCAACCTGTTGCCTAAGCTACAGAGACAAACTGTTGCCCCAGGCGCTTCCTTACCACTGAAGTAGGAGAAAGACTTAACAAGGCGCTGGAAGGGGCTGCAGATGGAGCCCAGAGATCCCATCTCTGTGAATGGCAGAGCCAACTACTCAGGGCTGGATTGTGGTCCAGAGGAAATATCCTGAGAGCACAAATTTCAGAGGGATCCCACAAGTGCTGAGTTCCAAGCACCCCACCCCCTACCCTGATCCAGCCATGGGATAAAGGTTGTGACCAGAAAAGGACAAGGAAGAACTCCAATGAGATCAGTGGTAAGTCCAGGGCTGACCCAAACCCCCTCCTCCCCGCAATCCTCTGAACGTCAAACCCACACAGCTTGGCCACGACTGAGAGGGACAAACCCAGATGGAGCCTAGACATCAGTCACAATAGGAGAACCCCATTCCAGGAAAGGCCTGGCTGGGGCAACCTCCTGAGAGTACATACCTGGAGAAGAGACTATCCTGTACATCCCCAACAGAGATCTCCCTGCACATACAAGAGTAGGAGGGGAGGATTGCAGCTCCACCCACTTCCACTGCCCCTCCTTCTTCCCTGTTTTGTTCCCTGAGGTGAGAGTGAAAGAGGTGGCTCTGAAGGAGAGATCTTATTAGAGGAACAATTACAGAGCCTGCCACAAGAGGACAGGCTTTTTTGTCTTTGTTTTTTGTTTTGTTCTGTTTTGTTTTTTAAATTTTCAATTATTTTTTAATTTTAAAAATTTTCTGTTTGTTAGTTCATCTATTTTTAAAATATTTTTCCATTGTGCATGAATGTGTATGTGAGGCTTTGACCTGCATTCCCTCCAAAATTTTTTTTTCTTTTCTTTCTGCTTTTATTTGTCATTCTCTGTTTATGTGTGTATGTGAATGATTGAGTAGTTCATCTTTTGATTTTGTTGTTGGTTTTTGCTCTTTTGTTCTTCTGGGGTTTTTTATATTCATTTTTTTTTTATAATTTAACGGGTGTGTTAATATGTGTATGAGGGTTCCACCTGAATCCCCCTCACCCTTTTTTTCCTTTTTTTTCTTATTGTTCCCCCTTCAGTCTTTCTGTCTTTCTTCTCTATTCACTTTGCACTAGGCATGTGTGTGTGTGCTTAGTTTTCTTGGGGTTTTTCTGTTGTTGTAGTTTGTTTTGTCTCGCTTTGTTGTTATTGCAGATTGTTTTGTAGTGTGGGTTGGTTTCTGCTTTGCATCATCATACAGAGTGGTGGTGGGGAGTGGATCTCAGGGAAAACATACCATATAAGTGAACATTTTAATTTGCAAGTAGCGTCTGACTCCTAGCACCCCAGCCCCTACTTTACTTGGATTTCAAAAACTACAAGAG